GGAAGGAAGATCTTAAAAAAAAAAAAAGAAAACCAGGATGTTGTGGAATATTATTTTAACTGTGTAAAGATGTGTTACATTTGTTTATGCTGCATTTGTTTAGCGATGTAAGGATATGTGTTTAATTATGTAAAGATGTGTTGCATCTGTTTCCCCTTGCCTGCCTAAGGTACCTGACTGGTCTAATACAAAGCTGAATGACCAATATCTAGGCAAAGGGATAGGTGGGGCTGCTGGCCAGAGAGAATAGATAGGAGAGAAGAACTCGAGAAGAGAAGGAGATGAAGAGAACGAGAGAGAGAAAGAGAAGGAGGCGCCTGGAGCCAGAAGCCAGGCAGGTGCCAGCCAGCCATGAAGCAGTGAAAACAAGACATGAAGAAGGAAAGAAAAGCAAAAAGCCCTGAGGGGAAAGGTAGATAAAGAGGAACAGGTTAAGTTAAAAGAGCTAGCCAACCAAAAAAAAAAAAAAAGAGCTAGCCAGAAACGAGCCTAAGCTGGGTCGAGCATTCAAAACTAATAATAAGTCTCCGTGTCATGATTTGGGAGCTGGTTGGTGGCCCAAAAGAAAAAGCCTGCTACACTCAGACATGCTAAATTCAAGTACCAGATCCTCAAAAAGCCTCCTAGGTCTCAGAATAGCTGCAAACTCAGCTTTAACCGGCAGTGTGGGGGGTGGGGGTGGGGCTTAATTGGTAGCGCTCCACTAGCATGCCTGGGTTTGATTCCCCAGCACCCCATGACCCAAGATTGGGTGGTTAGTGTCTGTAATCTCAGCATTTGGGAGGTAGAGGCAGGGACAGCAATTCAAAGTCATCCTCAGCTACAGACATGAGATGATCCTGTCTCAAAACGGAAAAATAAATAAAGATAGAACGCTGGGGAGACATGCAAGGGCCTTCGTCAGCTGGTAGCTTGAGTAACACAGCCAGACAAACCAAAAACAAAGAAAGGGAAAGAGAGGGAGAGAGAGAGGAAGAAAGGAAAGAAAGATAAAAAAAAAAAAACCACTAATAAATTCTTGGCTGCTTGATTTAAAGGATGATATATTGTCCAGACCTTGAGAACTTAATAGGCCCACAGCACCCTGTTCTGTCTGAGCACACTGAGAATTGCATTAGTTCTGGGCACCACAATTTAAGAGCAATATTGACAAGAGCTGTAAAAATGTTCATGCCCTTTGACCTAATAATCTCACTCACGGGAATTTATTCTAAGGGAATAATTCAAGAGAATAGATGAATTAGAGACATGAAAGGTATCGATGCAACATCCTTTCATATACATGCATATCTATGTGTGTATATAAAAATAAATGTTTCCTAGAAGGGATGAACAATTTTAAAATGTAAATTATTTAAATATAAAATAAATATGATAATGATGCGTGCAATAACATGGCGAACCTTGAAACATGCTACATGCTACATGAAAGAAGCCTGGCACACACGATGGGCAACATATTGTCCGATCCCATTTATACAAAACATCCAGGATAGAGCTGAGTGTGGTGGCTTACGGCTGTAATCCTGGCACTAGAGAGGCTATGGCAGATGGCCAGGAGTTTGAGGCCAGAGCCTGCTACCAGTAAGTTCCATGTCAGTCTGAGCTATAGTGTAAGAGCCGGTCTCAAAAAACAAAATCGATAAATCTGCCTTGGTCGTGCATGCCGGTCCTACCAACACTCTAGCAGATCAGGAGTTCAAGGTCATCCTCAGCCTGGGATACATGAGACCCTGTCTGAGAAAAAAAAAAAATAGATACAGGCTGGAAGGTGGACAAGAATGAGAATGTGGACAGTGGCGGGGCAGAGGAGGGGGAACGGAGCTAGGGGTAATTAATTAGTTAATGAAAGCAGACGTCAGAATAAGCCAGCGACAGAAGAAGAAGGCTCCTGGGAGACAGTAAGGAAGAGTGACTGACAGAGAGTGGGGGGCACTTTTGGAATATGTGTGAAACTGTAGAATTAGAGAGTGAGTCCCGATGGTTATACTTGTGAACAGGCACAACACCATAACATTGTAAACTTTTTTTTTTTTTAACAGGGTTTCTCTGTGTAGCCCTGGCTGTCCTGGAACTAACTCCATAGACCAGGCTGGTCTTGAACTCATAGAGATCTGCCTGTCTCTGCCTCCCAAGTGCTGGGATCAAAAGTGTGGGCCACCACCGCCAGGCTGAGACAGTGTCTTTTAATGTAGCCCTGGCTGTCCTATAACTCTTTATGTAGACTAGGCTGGCCTTGAACTCCCAGAGATCAGCCTACGGCTACCTCCCCCGTGTTGGGTTAATACTGTATACTTTAAGAGGATGAATTTAGCTAAGCGTTCCTCTATGCCTGTCGTCAGGACTCAGGAGGTGGAGCCAGAGGATCAGCAGTTCAGGATCTTCCTCAGCCACTGAGGGCTCAAGGCCAGCCAGGGTCACATGAGTCCTGCCATAAAACAACACAAAACAAATCGAATGGGCTTGGTAGGCATGGTGACATATGCCTGCGATCCTTGGGCAGAAGAAATGGGAAGACTACGAGTTGAAGGTCAGACTGGGCTGTAAAAGAATAAGGCCCTGTCTTAACAAAAGAAAACGAAACTAAAAAGGATACATTTTATACCTCATCTAGACAATGCCTCATTGAGTCTCTCTCTTCCTTTTAGGGCACTGGTTCTCAACCTTCCTAATGCTGCGGCCCTTTAATACAGTTCCTCGTGGTGTAGTGACCCCCCTAACCATAAATCTATTTTCCTCGCTATTTCATAACTGTAATTTTGCTACTGTTGTGAATCGTACGTAACGTGAGCATCGGTGTTTCCTGATGACCTTTAGGTGACCCCAGTGAAAGGGCTGTTCAACCCCCTCAAAGGGCTCGAGACCCCATAGGTTGAGAACCACCATTTTAGGGGCAATCAAATCAAGGCCTTGGGCATTCTTGACAAGTACTCTACCACTCAGCTACATTCCCCAACCCCCTCTCCTTAATCTCTTTTAGGGCCAGTCCAATAGCTTCCTTCGTGAGCAAAAGCAGCGTCTGTATAAACCTGGTGGCCTATGTTCAATTCCCGGTCGCAGCGTGGAAGGAGAAAACAGTCGTGAAAGTTTTCCTCTGATCGCCAAACATGCTCTCTGGCATACAGATAGGTGCACACACAATGACAGTAATAATCAATTAAACTAAACTTTTTAACTGAAAACCTGTTTTTTCCTTAGCCCAACCGGATAAAGTGAGATCTGCCTGTTATCCAGCACGTAGGAACAAAGGCAGAGGAGTTCCACTTGCAAAACCCTGACTCAAAAATAAGTTATTTATTTATTTAGAGACAGGGTCTCACTGATAGCCTTGGATGGCCTTGAACTCACAACTCACAGAGCTCTCTGCCTCTGCCTCTCAAGTGCTGGGATTAGAGGCATGCACCACCACTCTCTGCTAATTTAGTTTCTTACCAAAATAATGTCCACAAGAGGGCAGCCAGAAGATGGCAAGTCAAATTGTTTAACATAAGCCTCAAGTGAAAGAAACCACAGAACCCAACGTTAACTGTTATCTTAAAGGTCACTTAAGCCTAACCCCCTCCCTAAGACAATGGTGAAGACTCATCCAGTCCCCCTCCTGGGCAGTAGAGAAGGCAGAAGTAGCAGAGTCTGGTGCTGTACAAATGGGATCTCAGAGCTTAAGAGGCGGAAGAAGATTGTGAGCTACAGAGCAAGTTTGAGTCTACCCTGAGCTACATGAGACCCTAACTGATGGGGTAGCAGCAGAGGCCCAGCTCCTCACTCCTTTGCTCCTGTCTACTAAACTGCAGTACTTTTTCAGAAAACTCTTTTTTTTTTTTTTTTTTTTTAATGGTTTTTCGAGACAGGGTTTCTCGGTGTAGCTTTGCGCCTTTCCTGGAACTCGCTCTGTAGACCAGGCTGGCCTCGAACTCACAGAGATCCGCCTGCCTCTGCCTCCCAAGTGCTGGGATTAAAGGCATGTGCCACCGCCGCCCAGCCAGAAGGGATTTCCAATTCAAGCAAAAGTGAAAACGATCATCCGTGATGTAATTCTCAAGACTCTGTGATGTAGGGTACTCAGGCTGTGGCTCTCTCCATTCCCTTCCAATACAGAGTCTGAATTTTGTAGAAGTCAAAGAATGTGAAAACATTAGATTTTATTAACTCAGCTTAGCAATAAAATAAGGACAATTCATTTGTTCAGTTTTTAGTAACTTCCTTTTATTGTTGTTATTTCTTGTTTTTGCTTGTTTGTTTGAGACAGTTCTTACTCTTGCCCTGGCTGGTCTACAACTCTTTATGTAGACCAGGCTGCCCTTGAATTCACCAAGATCTGCCTGCCTCTGTCTCTGAGTACTGGGGTCAAAGATGTGTGTGACCACCCCCAGCCCTCTTTTAGGGTTTTTAAATTTTAATACTTTTGGGGAAAAAGTGTGACTAAAACACACTGGAAAAGCAAAAAAAACAAACAAACAAAAAAAAACAGTATAATTTTAACATGTTTCTGGTCTTCAGTCTTCCACTGCAAAGGGAAACATCCTGGCCTCTTTTTCCACATCCAGCTGGAATTTAATAAGGCCTCCTTGAAATCCACAAAGTGGTAGTTGCCCGGGGCTTCCCGGAGTTGCCTTAAAGACACACGAGATATAGAATCATGAATCTTCCCATCAGTCCTGTCTCAGTTTCAGCTCCCGTTGCTGTGATGAAAGACCCTGACAAGAGTAACTTAGGATTCCTTTCAGCTTCCAGGCGAGGCACAGTCCATCATGTGGGAAGTCAAGGCAGGAGCTCGAGGGCTCTGGTCACACGGACTCCGTAATCAGGAACAGAGCCTGAATGGGTGCATGCCGGTACACAGTTTATTTTCCTTTTTCATTCAATTCCGGGCCCAGTCTATGAAAATGGTACTGTCTGCGTTCAAGCTGGGTTTTCCCACTTCACAGTTATCCTAGTTAAGAAAATCCCCCACAGACCTCCCCATAAGTCAACCTCACGTAGATAATGCCTCAATGATGACTCTCTCTCTCTCTCTCTCTCTCTCTCTCTCTCTCTCTCTCTCTCTCTCGTAATTCAAGACAGTGTTAAGTTGACAATTAAAACTCACCACCACCACTTTGGAAGCATGATGGCACAGGCCTTTATTCCCAGGACCAGAGGCAGAGGCAGGTTTATCTCTGTGAATTCCAGGCCAGCCTGGTCTACAGATCCCCATAAAATAACATTATCTGCTCCTCTTCCAATACCCTAATACATCATTTATAGTCCTATGACATTTAGTTCAAAGCAGAGAACAGGGCAGACTTTGATATTTCTATACCCATGTTATGATCCCCTCTGGGAATAGATGCTCCTGAGAGAGAGGCATGATGCTCACAATCAGACTTCAAGTCCTGAACAGACCTGAGAATTCTGCCCGTTCAAAACCCATGAGGGACTCTACAACACTGTTCCAATTAGAAGCGATTCGCCCATGCCACAGCAACTTGTTCCTTTTGGGAAAAGTATAAAACAGGAAAGTATAAATGGAATAAAAACATTTTTTCTGGGACTTTGACATCTCTAAACTCTGTCTTACCTCTTGGAATCCCTTTTGTCATATGACAGTATTTGAAATATTAGAATCTTCATATTTTTCAGTCTCCCAACCCAGTGCTTTACACATTTATAAACATTAAAATAACCTTCCTCCATCGTACATCAATGTACTGCGATAGAATACGGTGGGTTATTCTTTGAAAGATATTTTATTGATTTTATAATTTACCTTTCACTATATGGTTTAAGAAAATAGAGTCAAGAATACCGTAGCCAAGAACTTAGAAATTCAGAACATAAATACATTCTCTACCATAAACTTTCTCGTCCCTTTAAAGTTTTCGTCTCCGCTGCAAGCAGCCTCGCTAACACTTTTGGGATGCGAGGGTGTGAATATGCTGCCCAGCTCTGCCGAGAGTGAGTCCAACCTCGATGTTGCTTTTCACCTCCAGGATGCTCTGGGTTTCCTGGGCTGACTTAAGACTTCATACGCAGCCTGGATCTCCAGGAAGTGCCTCTGGGCCTCTTCTGTCTGGTGCCGGTTGTGGTCCGGGTGCCAGACCTTCACCAGGTCGCGGTAACTCCGATGTATTTCTTCATTGGTTGCCCCTTCTGGAAGGCCCAAAACCTTGGGGAAACAGAGCTCACAAATGAGCATCTCATAAGTGCTCGGAGCCCTGGGTCTCTCCCTGCTTCTTGCTAACCCCAGCCTATTTGGGATCTAGACTAGCCCAGAGCCTCAGACAGAATTTCAGCCCTTTGGGCCAAGGGGAAATTCCTTAGCAGAGCATGTCCCTAACTAGAGTAAGGTCCTGGGTTTGATCCACAACAGTAAGAAAAACAAAACAACTCAAACAAATAAAAGCACCCCCCACCTCAAAAAATAAAACACTGGGTGTCATGTAAGAGCTAGGATGCCTTTAACCACAAATGCATTTCCAACCGAGAACTTCACATCCTTGACACTATCTCCTCCCCACAGAAGAAATGAGTGTACATATATCCACCAAAGTCCTGAAAAGAGCCGGGAGGCAGGGGCGCATGGCTTTAATCCCAGCACGGGAGGCAGAGCCAGGCAGATCTCTGTGAATTCAAGGCCAGCCTGGTCTACAGAGCAAGTTCCAGGCCAGGCTCTAAAACTACACAGAGAAACCCCGTCTCGAAAGAAAAAAAAAAAAAAAGGCTTAAACTAGAAGCGACCTAAATATTAACAATAGAGTAAATAAATAGCTGTGAGTAGGATATGATATAGAATTAACACAAACTATTTCAAATTGCATGTTAGCTACATCTTGTGAACATGATGCTGGATGAAAAATGCCAGATCCGTACTAGGTGATCCCATGTATTTGCTGTTCAAGAATAGACAAAACTCAGGCAAAGAAAAAAGAAAGAAAAAGAAAGAAAGAAAGAAAGAAAGAAAGAAAGAAAGAAAGAAAGAAAGAAAGAAAGAAAGAAAGAAGAAGGAAAGAAAGAAAGAAGGAAAGAAAGAAAGAAATCTGCAGTGAGTTTCGGGAAATGCTCTGTGGTTGACAAGAAATCTCTAACCCTTGAAAAAAATCCGAGAGCCATTTGTGGCAGCTCAGGTCTGACACCCCAGCAAAGACAGGCTGAAGCAAGTGGGGAGAGGACTTAACACCAGCTAGCACACAGTGAGAGCCTGTCTGAATTCCCACAGAGAAAATCATGGAGCATTCTGCTGAAGATTAGAAAAGCCGCTGTTCAGCCGGGCGGTGGTGGCGCACGCCTTTACTCCCAGCACTCGGGAGGCAGAGGCAGGCGGATCTCTGTGAGTTCGAGGCCAGCCTGGTCTACAGCGCGAGAATCCAGGACAGGCTCCAAAACTACACAGAGAAAACCTGTCTCAAAAAATTAAAAAATAAAAGAAAGAAGAAAAAGAAAAGCCACTGTTCTCAACCTAGAAAGACTGATTCCTGAGTAAACAATTGTTTAAGGGACTGCTACAAATATCCTTGAGTGTGCAGAACCAGCTGTATATCTGTGTGCATGGTAGTATTATAAATGTAGCAAACAAACAACAACAACAAAAAACTCACCTAGCTGATACAGTGGCATGTGCTGTTAATATTCAGCACTTGGGAGGCAGAGACAAGTGGATCTCAGTGAGTTCGAAGCCAGCCTGGTCTACAAAGCAAGTGGCAGGACATCCAGGGCTGTTACACAGAGAAACCCTGTCTTGAAAAACCAAAATAATAATAATAATAATAATAATATCCAGCACTTGGGAGGCCGAAGTAGAAGCAGAAGGATCACAAGTTCGAGGCCAGCCTGGTTTACATTTTGGGTTCCAGGTCAAAGGCTACATAGTGAGAGTGTCTCAAAAACAAACAAAAACACTGGGCTGACAAGATGGGTCAGTAGATAAAGGTATTTAGGACAAGTCTGATGATCTGAGTTGGATCGCTGGAACACACTTGGTGGGAAAGAGAGACTCCAGTCTTGTCGACTGGCCTCTCCTCTGACCCCTACATTCATGTTGTGGCACATGGACACATACACAATAATAAATTTTTGTTTTGTTTTGTTTTTGTTTTTCGAGACAGGGTTTCTCTGTGTAGTTTTGGAGCCTTTCCTGGATCTCGCTCTGTAGCCCAGGCTGGCCTTGAACTCACAGAGATCCGCCTGGTTCGGCCTCCCGAGTGCTGGGATTAAAGGCATGCGCCACCACCACCCGGCAATAATAAATTTTTTAACCTAATATATCATGATAGGACTCGGGATGTGGCTCAGTGTTACAGTGTTCATGTAGCATACCCAGGGGTTCTGGATCTAATCTCCTACACCACCCCTAATCCACAGTAACAGAAGGCAGAAAGGAGGTAACCTCCAAGGCAAGAGTATAGAATGGGAAGGGCTAGGAAGAAATCTTCCTGGAGCTGGTGGTGTTCCATTCCTTAACCTGAGGGGCATGTACACTTTATATATTAAACTTCAATAAAAAGTATTATTCAGCCAGGCGGTGGTGGCGCACGCCTTTAATCCCAGCACTTGGGAGACAGAGGCAGGCGGGTCTCTGAGTTCCAGGACAGTCATGGCTACACAGAGAAACTGTCTCTAAAGAGCAAAAAAGGACTGGAGAGATGGTTCAGAAGTACTGGCTGCTCTTCCAGAGGTCCTGAGTTCAATTCCCAGCAACCACATGGTGGCTCACAACCATCTGTATTGAGATCTGGTGCCCTCTTCTGGCCTGCAGGGATACATGCAAACAGAACACTGTATACATAATAAATAAATATTTTTAAAAAACTATTATTCATATGTATTTCTCATCAGTAATACCTTCAAGCAGTACACACAGAAGCCCAAAGAAGCCAGGGTACCCTTTCAGGGCTCAGCCAGCAGACCTCAGAACACATTCCCTATTCCGGGGGACTTACCGGAAAAGAAAGACTTACCTGGTAAGCCAGCTGACGTTTCTCATCCTGAAAACTGTCAACAAATTCATAGAGCCTTTCCCACTCCTGGAACTGTCTGCTGTTGAAGCCAGGATCCCCAACCAGTAGCCACCAGATCCGGCAAGGCAGAAGGAAGACAGACTCCATGAGGCGGCCAAGAAGCGGGAAAAAGCTGAACCAACTCAAGAAGGAACCAAGGGTTTCTGCCACGTAGCTAAGGGTGGCAGCTGTGTTGCACAGGACACTATATGCCAGTGGGCCTGTGAAGGCGAGGTAAGCCAAGCCCAGACGGTAGAGCCGCACGCTAATGGTCTCTGACTCCGAGGAAGCTTTGTATCGGCGATGCTTCTGGGCTGTGACGCTGGCAGCCAGACTGATGGGCAGGATGGCTATGGGGCGGCCATAGAACACAGGGGAAGTGAGGAAAGCTGCTCCTAAAGTGTTCTTAAAGTCTGACGTTTCGTTGCCAACAGCAGCCACTAGCAAGACCCCCAAGCCAACTGCCAACGGAAGGCCCACAATGTAGAAGTTGGCCATGGAAGAAAGGCTAATCAGAGCCACGAGACCAAAATAGATACCCACTATCATCTGGGCAACAAAGCGAAGGAGACTCAGAGGTGGTCTCCCCTCTCCTGGCCTCTGTTTCCGACCCTGGGCTCTGTTGGCTTGAGCAACAAAGCTTGGGAGTTTCCAGAACTCCCAGAGCCAGCCCAACCCACCACCTCCCAGGGTAAGCATCCAGAGCAGGGCATGGCTGTCCCTTCCCAGATACAGGTGGTGGAGTCCGACAGGACCCCCGAAAGCCCAAAGGGTATAGGTCACCAGGAGGCCTTTTGCCATCCTCTATGGCAAGAGTCTCAGAACAAATCCAGTGGCATTTGACATTGATCAGAATGCAGAAATCTCAAGATCCTCTGTGAGAATCACCATAGTCCCGAGAGTTTCCTTAGACCCTAAGAGATGGAAAGAGTGGGGAAAAAGCAGACTCATCAGACTACATCCAATCCCCAACACAGAAGACCATTTCTCCGTAATGCAAGTCAAGTCCGCTCCTCCCTGATGGGCTCTTGGGTGTTAGCTGTCTCTTGTGTTAGCACCCCAGGCCTGATACAGTGGCTCGAAATTTAGGGGAGGAGAGTGCTTCGGTTTAAAATTTATTAGTATTTATTTATTTTGGAGACACAGTCTGATGTAGCCAAGCTGGTCTTATGCGGCCATAGCTGAGGGTGCCCTTGAGCCCCTGCTCTCCCTGCCCCCATCTCCCCAAATAGTGGGCTCACAGTATCTGCTACCACGCTCAGGGATGAGAATGTTCTAAATGTTTTCAGTTGAGATACTGAGAACTAGGTGCCTGAACCAAAAACCAAACCAAAACAAAAAACCCAAAAACAACAACAACAAACAAACAAATTAGAAGCTTGGGACTAGAAAGATGGCCCGGGGGTTACTTACTGCTCTTCCAGAGGACCCCCGTTCAGTTCCCAGCGCCCACATGGCAGCTCATAGATGCCCTCTTCCGGTCTCCGAGGGTATCAAGCACTATGCGGTACACACACATAGATACAAGGAATACACTCATACACATGAAGTAAATTTTAAAAAGAAGAAGCAGCCAGGCGGTGGTGGCGCACACCTTTACTCCCAGCCAGGCGAATCTCTGTGAGTTCGGGCCAGCCTCACTACAAAGTGAGATCCAGGACAGGCTCCAAAGCTACACAGAGAAACCCTGTATCGACAAACAAACAAAAGAAGAAGAAGAAGAAGAAGAAGAAGAAGAAGAAGAAGAAGAAGAAGAAGAAGAAGAAGAAGAAGAAGAAGAAGAAGAAGAAGAAGAAGAAAGAAGAAGAAGCAGCAGCTTACGCCGGGCGGTGGTGGCACACGCCTTTAATCCCAGCACTCAGGAGGCAGAGCCAGGCTGATCTCTGTGAGTTCGAGGCCATCGTGGTCTACAGAGCGAGTTCCAGGAGAGGCTCCAAAGCTACATAGAGAAACCCTGTCTCGAAAAACCAAAAAAGAAAAAAGAAAAAAAAAGGAAGAAGAAAAAGCAGCTTACATTTCAGACCTCCCCTTAATGGTTCAAGGGGGATGGGGGGCGGAGAGTAACAGAACACTTTTTCAAAATTTCAAAACCTTCTGAAAGCCAGTGCCTTATCTAAACGCCCACCCCTTTAACTCCATGTGTGTGTGGCCCAAGGTTTGAGCCTCTCTCCAGCCTTCCCATCTCCCCAGGCCATGAAAATTTCCCACAAGTCAAACTTGAAAGGGATCCTGAATTCCTTCCACTTAAACATTCTGGAAAGCATTTTGACCTAGACCTTAGCACCCCACAGCTCAACCATCCTGTTCCCAAACAAGACTGAAGAGCCTCTGCAAAGAGGCTGCAAAAATCCTCAGAATATCAAATCCAGTGCCTGAGAGTGCCTGCCAACATGCCCTAGCTACTTCAAGCGAACTCACCCCCAGGCAGTCCCGGTAGACAGCAGTACCTGGCTGCTCAGGCCGCTTCAGACTAGTTACTTCCTTTGACCATAGGATCAAAATGGCCCTTCTCCTCTCTCTCTTTCTCTCTCTGCTCCCACTTCCACACAAGTGGACTTTGCCCCTCAGTGCTGCTGACTGTGTGTCTGAAGTCAGGCCACCTCCGCCAGGCCCCTCCCCGAAGCCCTCGTCAGCCCCTTCGGAGTCACCTTCCGGTCCTACCTTCCCCTGCCCGCCCTCTGGGATAACTGTAGGAAGCTCTCCCCAGGCTCGCCCCATTTTCCATGATAGGGCCTGGAACCGCGCCCCACTCCCGGCGGAGCGCACCTCTTGCAGAACGTCACTACAACCGCCAGGTGGCGGTGCCGCTTACGGAAGGGAGGTTCCCCCCCAAAAAAGTCCCTGATCACCTTTTCGCAAGGTTGGGACACCCCAGGCCAAAGCTGTCCCGACTGTGCGGCTACCTGAGGGAGAAAAAAGGCGATCCCATCAATAAAATTAAATTCTTGATTACCTCTTCTCCCTCTCCCACTTCGGGCTGCATGCTTCTCTCCATGCTCCAAGCAAGAGCTTCAAGATGGCCATTGTAGTATTACTTCTAATTTCTTTCTTTTTTCTTTTTCTTTTTTTTTTTTTTTTTTTTGGTTTTTCAAGACAGAGTTTCTCTGTGTAGCTTTGCGCCTTTCCTGGAACTTACTCTCTAGCCCAGGCTGGCCTCGAACTCACAGAGATCCACCTGACTCTGCCTCCCGAGTGCTGGGACTAAGGGCGTGCGCCACCACCGCCCGGCTACTTCTAATTTCTTAAGGGACAGACATCCACCCGTATGCAAAAGGGAGCGCCCATCAACCCCCTCTATTTTACCTCCCTGTCTTACTTCTAGGTCTTCCAGTTTTAGGGGACTCCACACCCAAACATGAGCCTGACCCTGCAGAGCCCCAGATCCAGAGAGCCTCGAAGCTGTTCTGACCCTGCAGCCTGAAGCAAAGGGAAAGCACACTAGCTAGCAAGGGATACAGGAGCGCGTTTTCTTCGGAAGAGTATGACCACAGCGGGACTCAGGGGGAGAGGAACCGCCTTCTTCCTTCGTAGCTGGAATGGAGCTGGCGGCACACACAACGCCTTCAATATTCCAGGCTCCAATCCCTGGTGCGGTTCAGTGACCTTGGCCAAGTCACACCCTCTCCTGAGCTTCAGTTTCTTTCTTTTTTTTTTTTTATAAAGAAGCTTGGATCTACAAGATCTTCTGGTCTTGACGAGAGGTAGGGATAGAGCCAGTGGGCCTCACTTAGGGTCACATGCCAACAGGAGGCAGAATGTTCTAGCTCCCCCCAACACCCCCTACCCCTAGTTGGGGATGAGAAGGCAGCTCCAGATAAGGCCTTTTTAGGGCCGAGGAGGGGCAGCGAAACGACAGCCCAGCCACGGCTGGGGACTGGGGGGGCGGAGGGGTGGGGGCGGCGACAGGGCCACTGAATAATGAATGAGACTTAATTGGGCCCGCACTGCGCGGCGGGCGCGCTAAGCTGGGCAAACACGCGGGCCGCCGCCGCCGCCGCCTCTGGACAAACAAACTCGCTCAGGGTGCCTGCCGGGAGCCCCGGTGCGGACCGCCCGCCGCGGCGGGAGGGAGGGGAGGGGACCGGCGGGCAGCCTGGCCTCCCGGGAGCAGCAGGAACCCAGAAGTGCCCGGGACGGAGGGATGGATGGATGGATGGATGGATGGATGGATGGATGGATGGATGGATGGAGGCGCGGGGCCCAGCCCTGGAAGGAAGGACCAGCAAGGGGAACCAAGCAGATTTTGCGGTGGAGCCTGGGGCCCGAGGGCAATGGAAGCGCGAGGAAAAGATGGAGAAGAGAGTGGAGGGTGGAGGAGAGAGTGAGAAATGAGCGAGGAAAAGGCGCGTCTGGGGGAGGGTCGGTGGAGGGGCGAGAGAAGAGCTGTCACTGTGAGGAAAGGGCAGAGCGATGGAGAAACGAGAGAAGGGAGGCGCAAGGGGCCTAGGGAAGAGGAATTGGAGAAGAGTCAAGGAGAGGGATGAGGTGACCGGAATGAGAACAAGGGGGTGACGGGGTGGGCGCCAGGCGCCCCTGCCAGCGCCTCACCCCGCTGCGCTCCCGCCCGAGCGCTCTCTCCAGCCGCCCGCACTCACTTTGTCACAATTACGGGGCCGTCACTTGGCCGGGATTGTTTTCCCCAAATTGTTGTTCTATAAACTGGCGCGGGGTGGGGGGTGGGGGTGGGATCTGACAAGCTGAAGCGGGAGGGGAGAGTGAGCAGCTGTCGAGGGCATGGTAACATATTTACCCGCTCCTGGCCCAGGCTTGGCCTTGGTTACTACAGAAACCCACGAGGAAACTGATTGCCACCCCAACCTTCATCACTGATTCCGCTTTCCACCGTCCTGGCCCGCCCCCTCGATCTCAGCTGCCTCGGTTTCCCCACCCGAACGCGGCCAGGGCTGGAGGCCCAGGCGATTAACCAGGTGCGGCCAAGAGTTTCTTAACCTTTCGCCGGTTCCCTCGTGCCGGGGCGCCCTCGAGTGCCGGCTCACCCTCACAGGTCGGCCAGGCTCATCCCTAAGTGTGCCCACGTCCCCTCGCCCCCGCGCCCCTCGCTACCCTGGACCACCTTGCTGCCCCTCGATTCTGCAAACATCTGTTGCGCCCACTGAGCGAGAACTGCGCGAGCTTCCCAGCTACCTTACCCCCCCCCGAGCCCCCCTCCCCGCGCCCCCAGCACCCGCCACCCGCCACCCGCCTCTTCCCCGCCAGCCCAGCCTGTCGGCTCCGTGACAGCCGCCGCCGAAGCCGGGGCCCCGCGGGAGCGGCCGAAGAGGAGACGCTGCATGGCTGCCTCCGACACCGGCCTCCCTCGCGGCTCCAGGGGCAACGGAGGATGGCGGCCGCTGAAGCGAGACCGGAGTCGGCCGCTGGAGTTGGCAGGGCCAGACGAGGGAGGGGGGAGGCCCTGGGAGGGCTCCTCTCCCCTTCTTTTAAAGCCTGTCTTTCTCATCCGGTCGCCCTCCGTCCTGCCTGGACCCGGACCCTTCCCGCTGAGCGCGCCTGGGATTCAGTAGGTTCCCCGATACCCACCGCCCCCCACCCCACCACCTCACCCCCCCCAGTCCGGGTGATTTACACGCCGGCTCCGCTCAGCGGCCGCTTCCCAATCAGGAATATCGACCCCGGGCGGGGCCCTCGGGCCGCATCGATCCCTCTAAGGCTCGGGATTTAAAAATGTCAAATTTGCCTTTTCCAGGCGGGCGGAGGGGGCGGGGGCCAGGAGGAGGGCCGTTTGCAAGAGGGGTGGACAGCAAGGCATCGACCAGGCGCCTGTGCCCGGAATGAGAAGCGAAGGCGGCCGTGCCCTGGCATGGCCTGGTCATTCTTGTGTTCTCAGTTGTGACAACAAGGGAGCTCTACCCTACGGCTTTGATCCCCACAGCACTGCCCTATTGCACCGGGTTAATCCCCGGTAGGAGCCCAAAGAGGAACAAGATCACCCCAAACCTGGGGAGACAAATTCGGAAGAGATCATAGGGGAAAGAGACAAAACTCTAGAGGCCCCCCAAGAACAATCCAGCCCTGGAAAGACCAAGGCAAATGGAACCTGCCTTCGAGGTGCCCTGTATAAAGCAATGTTCCAGAGACCCAGAATCCCCTGCTCTGTAGGTCGAGGAGATTCAGCCCTGGAGAGGCCAGGCTCAACTTCAGGATGGTTTGAGAATGGAGTGGAAGGTTGGAGACAAAGCCAGATGAAAAGAGATGATTGTAGTGTAATTAGCATTATCTTCCCAAGGTGTGAACTAGGCTCAAGAGTCCAAACACTGGGGTCTCCGGCAACTACTGTTTCCCTGGGCCCTAAGAAATGGATTCTCTTGGAGAGTCAAAGATCTGGGTTTTCTCACCCAGCACATCACACAGGTGTCTGCTCAGGAGCCACTCCTTCCTCCCAGATCACTACCAGCTAGGGGAGACCAGCTGGGTTGGAGACCACATCTTATACTGGAGACTGTAGATGCTCTATAAGTCGGGCTGTAGCTTAGATAGAACTCTGGCAGTGATTCCTTTCTCCAAGACCAAGCAATTAGGTATCTAGACTTTGGGGAGGGGAGCGTGTCCACTGCTTTCAACGCTCGCTCTGGGAAGGTGCTAGAAGAGATCAGTGGTCACAGCACTCTCACAGTTAACATGTCACATACCCTCAGGAGCACACCTCAGCTGTCA